TGCCTCCGGCACCCCCTGCATTATTATTATTAGAAGGGGAGAGGACGGAAGGAAGAAAAAAGAGAAAAGTTTTACATCTATTCAGATGTTACACACACACAGAGGCTTTTACACACGGACGCTTTTACACACAGACACTTTTACACACATGACGCTTTTACACACAGAGACTTTTACACAGAAACGCTTTTACACACAAACGCTTTTAGACACAAACGCTTTTAGACACAGAGACTTTTACACGCAGACGCTTTTACACACAGACGCTTTTACACACAGAAGCTTTTACACACAGACGCTTTTACACACAGAAGTTTTTACACACAGAAGCTTTTACATACTTCGCCGGACAACTTGGAAATAGCAATTTTTACCTCAGTTTTTGAAAGGGTTGTGCGGGACGCCTTGAAACCGCAATTTTGCTTCAGTTTTTGGCGATCGAACCTCATTTCGTGCGAAAGGAGTTTTTGGCGATCGAACCTCATTTCGTGCGAAAGGGTTGCGCGGGACGATTTGAAATCGAAATTTTACATCAGTTTTTGGCGATCGAACCTCATTTCGTGCGAAAAGGTTGCGCGGGACGCCTTGAACTGGCAATTTTGCCTTAGTTTTTGGCGATCGAACCTCATTTCGTGCGAAAGGGTTGCGCAGGACGCCTTGAACTGGCAATTTTACCTCAGTTTTTGGCGATCGAACGTCATTTCTTGCGAAAGAGTTGCGCGGGACGCCTTGAAATCGCAATTTTACATCAGTTTTTGGCGATCGAACCTCGTTTCGGGCGAAAGGGTTGTGCGGGACGTCTTGAAATCGCAATTTTGCCTCAGTTTTTGGTGATCGAACCTCATTTCGTGCGAAAGGGTTGCCCGGGACGCCTTGAAATCGCAATTTTACGTCAGTTTTTGGCGATCGAACCTCATTTCGTGCGAAAAGGTTGCGTTTCGTGCCGTCTCGTTGGCACTGCCCCGCGCCTTCAAGAGAGAAATAGAAAAGAAGGAAAGAGCAAGGGGGCAAGAGAGCAAGAGGGCAAGAGAGCAAGAGGGCAAGAGAGCAAGAGGGCAAGAGAGAATGTGAAGGTGTGAAGATGAGAAGATGTGAAGATGTGAGGATGTGACGATGTGAAGACGTGATGTGAGGATGAGAAGATATGAAGATGAGATGATGTGAAGATGATAAGCTGTGAAGATGTGAAGATGTGATGTGAGGATGAGAAGATATGAAGATGAGATGATGCGAAGATGATAAGATCTGAGAATGAGAAGATGTGAAGGTGAGAAGATGTGAAGATGAGAAAATGTGAAGATGAGAAGATTGAAGATGAGCAGATGTGAAGATGTGAGGATGTGAAGATGAGAAGATGTGAAGATGTGAGGATGTGAAGATGTGAGGATGTGAGGATGAGAAGATGAGAAGATGTGAAGATGTGAGGATGTGAAGATGTGAGGATGTGAGGATGAGAAGATGTGAAGATGAGAAGATGTGAAGATGAGATGATGTTTGACAGACCCCCACTATTGGAAGAACCCTGCGCTCAGACGCTCTCGGGAAAAAAACACAGGAAGAAAAAATGATGAAACATATTGATATTGAAACATGGAGTTTCTGAATAATTATGGATGACTTTTGGGTCCATGTTCAGAAACACTCATTTTTTGGTTACAGAAAAATAATTCACTAGTCAACCAGGGAGTTTTGACTGCTTCTTTCTGATTCTGACCAGATTTTCTGGTTCTGCCCAATGATATATTTGGCTTCTGAAAATGATGCACACCCCATAAGGGGCAAGTTTCATGAGAACACAGGCATTAGACCCCAAATTTGAGGTACCTAATTCTCAAACAAACTCATGTGGCATTAGCAGTAACGAAAAAAATCAGAGTCCAGGCCCCGAAAACGTGGGCGCTTTGTTGGTCCAAGGAACAAAGAAAGTTACCTCCCTCATGGGTACATCAAGCCAGTAGCGCATTCCTTGATGGGACAGATCATGGGATGATGATGATGATGATGGGATTTTCATATAGTGATCCCATTATCCAATAAATTATGGTAACCACATCCAAATCTTCTAGGAAACCACAATGATTATGAAAATCCCATTATAGAATTATATAGTTATAAATAAATATATGTGGTTTCCTATAAATGTTCCCATCATCCAATTCTATGATTAATGGGCTTAAGCTCTGGTAATCAAACGTGGCTAGCTGGGAAAGATTTATTATGTTTATAATAGCTGGGAAAAGTAATCATTCTCCATTGCCACCTTTAATTTCAGCGGAGCCGAAAATGTGAGACAAAAGTGGAAAACCCGGAAATCTGCACACTTTCCGGCATCTTTTTGGTTGCTCTGTACCATGGTCAAGCTTGAGGAAAGTCCACAATACAGAAAACGGATGCTGGTTATGGTCATTTCCATTTATAGAAAAACAACTAAAGGATTAAGCTACCTATCCAAGGTTGGGGAGGATAACATTAAATACTCATGTTGAAGAATTACCCATATTAGGGGAATCTGATTGCCATAGCTGCACTGCATCTGTAGGCCCAGCTAGTGGTCAAATGCTCCAAAAACAGCAGCTTCTCGGGGGCTGATCTTTCACACATGCTGGGAAGGAAGTGGCCCAGCAGTGAAATGTTTGTTGGCTTATAATAAACCCCATTTAGTAGTTTGGATATCAATGAACATCGATAAAGCATAGGTAGCTAAGTATGGGGCATCGTCACGAGCTCAACCGAGATGGAGAGCTATTCTTCAGGAGTTGCTGTTCGCCACATAGCTCCATTTAGTGGGAGCAACCCTCACTGTACCGTTGAACGAAATGGTAAAAGACCCTGAAACAACATTGAAATATGGGATTAAGATATTTGGTCACATATCTTCGTGGAACAATGTAATATAAAAAACGGCTTTGTCTGAAAATGGGGAGCCCCCAATTCCAGTTGTTTGTGATGGGGCATCCCTCTGGTATTGCGTATGGGATCGGCAATTGAAACTGACATTCTGGCAATTGCACAGTTGCTGTTTCACTTTCTTGCGTCTGCAACACACCGGAAGCGGCAGCAGGCACGTTGGATCGTGAAGTGCCAGCTTGCGGTTGTTTGTCGCTAGCCTCACGTCCACTGGATGCTTGAAACAAATTCCTGCTGGACCACGTTTCTGCAGGAGTGTGAGAAGCTGCTCCTTGGAAGCTACAGCGGCCAGAGCTTGAAGATTTTGTTCGTCGACCAGAATTCTTTCAATCTCTCCAGTGTGATCTGCCAGAATCACTGTGGCCAAAATAGCCATTTCACCATCACGCTCTGTCAATTGAACATAGCTCTTGAAAATCACCATTTTTAGTGGGTAAATCAACGATTTCAATGGCAATTTTCAATAGCAAACTGTTAGTTTACCAGAGGGTATCCCTCATTTTGATACCCGGGAGAAATAGGGCTTATATAAACATGTCACGTCGCCAGGAAATCCTCGTCGTCGCCAGGGCTTCACTCTCCAGCGAGTCCAAAGTAAAATCAATCATCAACAATCATTACATCTGAGTAAATTCAGGTCAATTACGGTATTATATTTATAATATATATATACACATAATATTAGGCTGTGTTAGTCGGCTGCCGCACTCCCCTTTTTTCGGTCAAGCATACACAGGTGTATATTGCTTTCTTATTGAAGAAAGCACCTGAAGTGAAAGATATCCCTCTGGACATATTTGGTCCTTTGACCCTTTCCCGACCCTATGGTCATTTTCAGCCGAAACACGCAAGGCACGTGCTGGCCAGGGGCACAAGGCATGCCCTGCACTGAAAAGGCTAAGTAGCCCTTATGCCATTCCGCCAGACCCAGCGAGGACGCACGGGACTGGGGGGGAGGGAGCCAAACGCTAAGGCGTGGTCAACCTCAAACAGCCTAACATTCGACCAATCTCGAAAGACTAGGCTGTGTTAGTCGGCTGCCGCACTCCCCTTTTTTCGGTCAAGCATACACAGGTGTATATTGCTTTCTTATTGAAGAAAGCACCTGAAGTGAAAGATGTCCCTCTGGACATATTTGGTCCTTTGACCCTTTCCCGACCCTATGGTCATTTTCAGCCGAAACACGCAAGGCACGTGCTGGCCAGGGGCACAAGGCATGCCCTGCACTGAAAAGGCTAAGTAGCCCTTATGCCATTCCACGGCTCCATTCATGCCTCCAAAGAGGCGTCAAGGTACCAAATGGGGTGGGAGCCCCTGGGAATAACGGGCGAGGAGGGCCTTAGTTTTTGCTGTAAAACGCAACTGCGACATTTCCGCCATGCCGGCCTCGATATAGAGGCGGGCCACACTCAGTGCCCGCCATCTGCCACGGAGAAGAATGCTCTCCAGAGATTGCTGCACCTGGTAGCTGTGCGTAGCTCCTCCTCTCCTGATAGAGTAGGGCTGGAAGCCAAGAGGGGAGAGATGAAGACGATCCAAACCTTGATAGTAAAGGCTGCGGAACCTGGCGGCACTATAAGGCCAAATGAACGCCTCGGGATTAAGGCGCCTCTCCAGGTGGCAGAGCTCCCAAAGCTGATGCAAGGCCTTATCGTTGATGGCCACCGCTTCATCCACATTGAACCGTAGGCCAGTCTTACTACCCTTAATGGACACCACTCCGTGTTCCGGGGTCAGCATGACGTCCCGTACCTGAAGTTTGAGAATTTCCCCGGTGCGGAGATAGGTATGAAACCCCAGCACCACCAGGAATGCCAGCGCGGGTTCCTCCCATTCCAGGAAGACCCCAACTAGCGCCCGACAGACAACCCGGGGCAGCGGCGGGGCACGCTGCGGGACCTCAATTTTGCGCCAGTTTTTGTACAAGCGCCAAGCCCCACGGAGATGTCCCTTGACCTGCGGCCAGAAGAAGTGGATACCACAAAGGGCATCTCCTATCAGTCCCAGCGGTGTGCCACTGATCCACTGGGCCTCAATCCACTCCTCACAGAGTGGGTCCAGCTCGTCCAGCGACTCCGCGGCTTCAAGGGTCGGCAGCAGCGTGGCCACGGCGCTGGTGTAGCGTCGTTCTGTTTTGACGCTAATCCCTACCGCTCGCAGCGAGACACCACGTCGCGCGGCGCGCCTCTCCGCCAGCGACTTCCCCTTTTTAATGGGGGGTCTCCCTGCTTGCGGCATCCGTCGGGTTTTCCGACGAGTCCACGTGTCCCTGTAGCTGGTGGGAATTCAGAGCCAAGAGGTAAGCAGCGATCTCACGCGTCATAGGCTGAAGTAGCTTACTTGAGGTCCTGCCCTTACTCAACACATAATTACACACCATACTATCAGAAAGATGCAACCACCTGGAGCACAAGCTAGAGGATGAACGCGCTCTCCAGCGAACGCTTTGCAGAATCATCTTCATCTCCAAATAATTAATGTGGTTGGGGAACCGCCAACGCGTGGTAAAAAGGATTCTCCAGGTCCACCAGTCAGCACGGAGGGAAAGATGATTTGAAGACTTATCCGAGAAAGGGGTCCCCAAAGAAATTGAAACATCAGCCCCGGTGTGGTTGACGTGCCTCGAAAGCTGGGCCGTTAGCTCATCCATGGTGACGGCTCTGTCAGGTTCAGGTCCATAAGAAAGTCGGCGTTGCAGGGGCGCGGCGACATCAGCCTGCAGCGAGCAGCCGGGCGCCAGCCCCATGCGTTGAATCACCTCCGAAGGGGTCCGACTCCGAATCCATCGCCAACAGAGCTGACTTACCAGCCATCCAAATGACAGCATCGAGAAAGAATCCCCGCATAGGGACAACTGCAAGTCCTCCAGCTCCTGTTCATGCCCCTTAGCTTGGCTAGCCGACATGGCGAAGGCGGTGTGGCCGAACCCAAAGCCTAACAGCAGGCAGCGTTCAGTCGCGTTGCAGTAACGCAGGTCCCCATCCTCACTCTCCAGCAGGTTGTCCAGCTTGTACTGATAGGGAGGGAACCTGAAACTGTCACTGCGCCAGCGCGCGATGGCGCTTTCATCACATCTGGCCACACCAGCGGGCCGATCAGGCGGCCTCAAGCGCGCTATGGCCTTCATGAAGGTCGGGAGCTTCCCATGACCGTCATACCTCTTCCAGCCTGGTGTAATCCATTGCTCATCAGTTATACCGGCGCCACTCATCCAAACTCTGGTGAAGCCGTCCAGCCGTTCCAGGCGAATGCCCGGCCCTTCTTCCAGCCTCTCACTGACCCAGGCAAGTCTTGGCCGATTATACGGCAACAGGTCCGACGGGCAGAGCGCATACGGCTCGACGCCCAGAACCTGCGAAATCTCGCGCCGGGCCGAGGTATCCATGGAGAGGACATTCTCAATGATAAAGTCCACCTGCGCAGTGGGGCCAAAGATGGTTCGGAGCCATTGCAGCAGGGCCACCAAGTTCCAGAAAAGCTTCGATCCTTCCCCGCTTAAGTTCAGCCGCCCAGCGCGGACAGCTGACAGGTGAACACAGGGGAAGCCGCCCACCAAGTGCACATGGGTGACTCGGGGGAAGCGATTGCTCCACTCCTTTACGGTGCTTTCTGTCACCGTTTCAATGTCACCCACTTCAATCACGCGTGGCCAGGCCTTCCGTGTGACCCTTTGGGCGGCTTTGCTCCACTCAATAGCCACCAGTCCTCGGGGTTTTACTCCGGCCAAGTCATAACCCCGGAATGCCCCTCCTATCCCGTTGAATGCAGATACCACCAGCAGCTCCACTTCCACCGCTGCGCATCCAGGGTCTTGAAGGCATCTAGTAAGCTGCCCGCCAGCGCTCGTAAGCGACACGGCAGTAGCCACAGCTCCTCCAAAATGGGACGCGTCCGAACAGGTCACCACCGGCGAGAAAGTCGCCCTCAAGTCCGTTTGGAGTAATGGCACCAAACAGACTAGTAGCCCGAGCTCTTGCTTGACCACTGGCCACCAGCGCCTGCGGTCTTGACCTTTGCGTCCATAGTTCCAGCTTTGGCTGAGGACTGCCATGGCCGGCCGCCTGAATTGCAGGGCAAATACCCAGCGTCCCAATATTATCTGCACCCACTTAGTCTTGGGCAGCCTTTCCCCCAGCAACATCAATGTCGCCACCAATAACTTGTGGATCCGTTGTGGGCCGGCGCCAACCAAACCGTGCTCACCGTTCAGATGGACCCCCAGTTCCGTGGCGTCCTGGGCGCTCAAGACGTGCTTGTCTTCGGCACAGAGCACTCCTTCGCGGGTCCATGCCCTGACTGCCTCGCGGTGAAGGTCACCAGAGGCCGAGTCGGGCAGACCCTTTAAACTGACTTCACCTGCCATGAAGTTGTCCAGGTAAACTTGCCAGAACAAACGCGGTCCAGCCCGGGCCACCGTGTCCACAAACCAGGGAGGGGCCAGAGCTTGCCTCTTGAGCTCGACGGCCCCCCACGTCTGGCACCGCTTGACCAGCTGCCTAGATGCCATCTGCATCAGCCCAACGGACGAGTTCCATCCCATCGGAAGGACCTTGCAAGCCGGCACATAGGTTTTGTTGGCATCCCGCCCCAGCGCTGAGCCGCGCGTCGGGGCATTGAAGGCCATAAACCGGCGCCACGGTGCAGGCAAGCTGAACAAGTAGAATGCGCTGCTCATATCAGCCTGGCTGATGTGAACCGTCTCGGACTCGTCCAGCATCAGTTGGTTCCAGGTTGTAGCCATCGGCAGCTCACCTATGTCTCCCCTCACTATGTCCAGGGCCCGGTTGATGGGCTTCAAATTCATGATCACCCGTAGAAGTGGGTCACCCGCGGGCGAAAACTTGCCAGCTTTCGGCACCCCGAACATGCCCGCCAAATAGGGCCCGCCGTCATCAGAGTAGACGTCTTGCAGATCAATCCACTCAACGATGCCGCGCTCTTCCAACAGCTCCCAGACCTTCATGGCTTCACCCAGCGCGATGTGCACACGGGCAGCATTAGGTCCCTCTTCCATCAGCTCCTTGTCCAGCAGTAGCTCTTCCGGTCGCTGGATCAGGTACTCCGCGCGGCCTACCAAGAGAGGGGTGAGTTCAACCGACCCCCCATGACCCAGGGGGGGCAGGCTGGCCGTGATCTGCTCCCGGGTTAGTGCCACCGGCTCCACAAATTCCTCCCCGTCATAGGAGATCCTCTTACTTAAGACGTCCTGCCAGACTTCGTGGGGGTCAACCTTTAAGGGGGAAAACAAAGAAAGGAACCGCCCAATCCGGGCATCCAAAACTCTCAACAGCTCTAGAACCTGCCGACCCAACCGCTTGCGGGGCGCTGACTTTTTGCAGCCGGACAGAACGTTCAGTCCATGGCATACAAGCGCTAGCCATGCGCACTCGGGGCCACCACAGGCCTCTCCTGTCAGGGCTTCCCGACTACAATCTACTGGCAGCGGGAACAGCAGGGAAGATCGCCCAAAAGCATCTTGAGATGCGGTATGCTTGACCTCTTGAAACAACCGATCCATACCAATTGGCAACCTCCCCTCGCTGATCCCTGCCGCCAGGGCCAGGCCTAGCGCGCGGGGGCATTCAAAATCGGCCCACTCCGCGTTGGAAAAAGAGCGCCCGGGATAGCGTTGTGTGCCTACCCCAGCGCAAGGGTCCCACAACCGTGGACCTTCCATCGACGCATCCATGTAGGGGTCGACAGAACCAGCTCCCATGAATTCAGTCAAAGCAGCCGGCCTTCCGCTTCCTTCGGCGGTGACCAGCCACTCTGAGAGCACTTCCTGTAGCAGCTCATCCGGCCAGGCATCCAGTTCCGACGGCACAGCGCCAGTAGCGCACGTGCCATCACCTGGAAACCCCGCTACCAACGGCGCGACGTGTGTCTCGTCTGCAGCAGGGCCCTCACCGGGGCCGCTCACTTCGCTCCACTCGGGGCGGCTGCCCCCTCTCCTTCTTTCGGCGCATCCTTTCCTCCTCCTTTTGCTCGAGGGGATCTCCAGGGGCTCTTGCCCTTCCGGCCTCCTTTGCCTCGACCAGCTCCTTCTCCTTTTCCTTTCGCTCCTCCTTTCTCGTCGGCTTTGGCTCCTGGAGTTTCGCGCGGGGCCCACGATCCTCCCCAGCGGCTCCAAGTCCTCTGCCCGGTCGCTTTCTCGATGGTCCTGGTGTGCTTCTGGGCGCGCAGCATGACGGCCGGCGGGGCCAGCCCAGCATGTCGCACCGGGATCACCTCGAGGTGCTGGGCGTCCTGCCAATTGTTTGTCAGCCCGGCGGACTCGACTGCGAGAAACCTCCCTGCTAAGGCGTCGCCTAGCTCTGGGAGGGCGCCTTGGGCCAGCAAGTCTATGCAACGGCCCAGCGTCTCCAGCTCGCGTAAGTCCCGCACCTTCCCAGGCAAATGGGGTTTGGCCACAATTTGGAAATAGGACATCATCTTGCTTGTCCTGTCCAGCAGGGGGCTTGTGTCTCCTTTGCGCACGGCGGCATCCGCCAGCGCTTCCCCCACTGATTCCAGCAGCATCTTCAACACCGAGCCTGGGTGGCGCGCCGCCTTCTTCTGCAGCGGGGGCAGCAGGCTTGAGGACGATGAGCTCTCCTCGGATGAACCGCTCCTTGAGTCGCGGCTGTCGCGCCTGCGCCTCCCTTTCTTCTTCTTCTTCTTTTTCTTCCGCGAAGGGCTCCTGGAATCGCGCCTGCGCCGGCGTGGGGACCGGGTGCGGGATCTCCCTTGATTTCGCTGCGCTACGGCGTCCGCCAGCGCGCTTTTCATCGAGGGTTCTCTCGCACGTCGCCGGTCCCCCCGCTCTGGCTCGGGGGCACGCTCCTCCGCGGTGTCCTCGATCGCTGCCACCTGACGATGCGATGCTGTCGCAACCGCTCCAGGGGCTGTCAGGGCTGTCCTTCCAGGTGGCGACACGGCGTCTAGGCCAGCGCCGGCCGGAGGACCGTGTTGCCTCATCTGAAGCCGCTTCCGCAGGGCTGCAACTCGATCTGGGGCTCCTTCGTCTCTCCTCTCGGGGGCGCCCTCTCCTTTTCCCAGGCCGCCTCTGCCTCTCTCCTCCAGCGTGGCGGCATAGAGTTTCCGCCATTCTTTCAACTTGACCTTTTCCACGTACTTGGGCGGATGCGACCCCGGTGGGAACACGGCGAACTCTTGGATGTGCCAGAGCTTTGGGTGATTGTCCTCGCAGGACAGCGGGCCATGCTTGCACACATGGACGCGGCGACGTTGCCGCGAGAACATTTTCACCCCCTCCAAACGGCACCAATGGGCGTCGGCTCCAAGCAATTTGACTCCCAAGTAAAGTCCGCTTTCCTCTCGGCACACGTCGCTCACGTAGATACATACCAGGCCTTTCTCGTCCTCGTTTCCATTGCGCCGCAGAAAGGGGAGTTCCAGCACACACCCCTTTTCCACGGGACAGTCTTTCCAAAACTGCGGGTCCCTGATAGCATCTACCAGGATGGCCACTCCTGGTTCCCCAACCTCGCTGCCTCCTTCTCCTCCCTCTCCCGGTGGGGATGGAGGAAAGGGAGGGATCGTTTCCTCTGGGCCGTCCTCCATTCCGGCCCCCAAGTCTCCTGCCATCATGACCGGTGGGAATGACGACGAGGGCGGCTGCCCAGGTCAAGGGGTTCCACCGGCAGGTGGTGATGGAAGGATTGGTCGGGCTGATAGAGCCCCCTGTAGTTTTGCTGATGTTTCTTTCCGCCTCGACGGTTGCGATTCTTCTTCTTCTTCTTCTTGTCAGACTTGTGGCGGCTCCTAGACCGCTCCCGCTCCTCGCGCTCCGGCGCGGGCGGTGGAGCTCGTGAGGGTGACCTTGGGGCCTCCTTCCCACGATCCGACGGGGGGTTCACCGGTCCAGCGTCGTCACCAGGACGCTCGCGCGGTTGGTGATCCTCCTCACCCGTCTCCTCCTCACTGCTCTCGCTCCCGAAATCTACCTTCTCCTCGGGCTCACGCCTCCGGTCCCGGTCCTTCTCTCTTTTCACGGAGGGGAGTCTGTCTCGCCCGTCCGCTTTGGATTTGGCCGCGGCCGACCTGGACACCTGATTGGTGATCTCGTTCAGCCGCTCCTTAGTGTTGCGCAGCCTGTCCGAGAGTGAGCAGATCTCACCCTGGACTTGCCGGTCCAGTTTTATCACACCTTGGACCTGCCGCGCAGTCTGGCGCACCAGCTCCTCACAGAGAGCCCGGTGTGCCGCGGAGTAGAAGCGATGCCTGGCGCTATCGCTCAGCAGCTGACTGCACGAGCAGATGGAGCACCAGGTATCGCCTTCCACCGCGGACCCACTGTGACACCTCTTGCACAGCGGGTCTCCTTGGGGCATGCCGGCTCTCCCTTTTGAGCCAAACGCTAAGGCGTGGTCAACCTCAAACAGCCTAACATTCGACCAATCTCGAAAGACTATGTCATCATATTTCAATATATTTCACTAACCTGAAATGAAGGCGATTTTGGGATAGTTAAGCCCCTACTAATCATCATTTTTGCGCATGCTTTTGCAAAAAAATTGTAATCCACTTCATTTGACCGTTTTACTATTGAAACAACCATGGTTACTTGGGGTACCCCTATTTCAGGAAACCTCCATATGCTAATCATCATTCTTGTTGTGGTCATTTTCCACAGCAAACAACTCAAGAATTAAACCTGGTTGGTGGTTTCAACCCCTCTGAAAAATATGAGTTCGTCAGTTGGGATGATGAAATTCCCAATATATGGAAAAATACATAATCCAAATGTTCCAAACCACCAACCAGAAACTATCTATCAAAGCTTGGGGATGTCATCATACTCCAAACCTTGCTGGACTGAAAGAATCAAGGCAGTGCCGAAGTCTTAGATAGCCTGCAACGATGAAATTCTTAGCTGCTGAACCAGGAGAATCATCCCATTGATACCAAAAGACTAAAGTGACTAAAGGATTAACGTACCCATCTAAGACTGACCTAGAAAGTCAATCACTAGCTACAAGTAGAATTGTTATTTCTATGATTTAAATGCCAGTGATTGACTTTCTAGGTCAGCTACAATCATAAATGTTTAAATCATAGAATTTGCT